TGGTTTTCCTTCTGGTTGGATGACAGAGTCACGGGCGCGAGTTTTTATCGCTTATTAGCACAGTGATACAAAACCTTGAAGGAAGTGCGAATTTACTTTCGATACGCAAGTGAAAACCGCTCTATTAAAAGAGTAACATGAATGAAATTTTGGAGGGACTGATGAACAAAAACACACGCACTCGATCTGTGATGAAGACACGTACAGGGGTTAGCTGGGAAAAAAACAAAATTCGGAAAAGAGAAATAGTCAACTATGCCTATGAAGCCAAAAGGAAATCGTTTGCGAGACCTGAAGAAAAGGGAAATAGAAAGCCCTGTATTGTTGTCCGTCAGTTCTTTAAAGCTGGCACAAGTTGAAAATAGCTCTTCTGTTAAACTTACAACTTTAAATCATTATTTTCCATATTTATTTAAAAGCATTGATTCTCCAATATCAATACTACAAAAGCATGAAATCATAAGGAGAGTTAAAATGGTTTTAAGGCAATTTTGCTAAAATGAGTCGACGAGGATGGGATTCGAACCCACGCGTGCAGAGCACATTGGATTAGCAGTCCAACGCCTTAACCACTCGGCCACCTCGTCTTGCATGCAAGAGGTATTCGGCAAAATTCGAATTTAGTCCGCATTCTTCAGGAATTTTATTCCCGCCATTTTTATTAGGGAGCTTAAGAAAACCACGACGGCAACGGCAATGGTAACGTCGCTAAACAAAAGGTTTAATGAGGAGAGGGGCTGTGCACCTGCGTGTTAAAAAGTGGTGTTCATTATAAACACGATAAAGTTCTAATGAATGAGTTAATGGGCCATAAATCGATGGGGAAATGACTTACAGTACGGCCTTCAAACTCGGTTAGTAGGAGGTATTAAGACCAGAATACCATTTAGTCAAGTCTTGTGGGCATAGTTTGCAATAACATTTTAAAACAGCAACAGGTCAGAGGAAGGTAACAGGAATGTGCGGCAACATCGCCCACCACTTTTTAAGCTTCAAATTGAGCCCAGCAGCCTGCGACGGAAATAGTATTTTTCGCGGGAAATGCTGTTACTGAAAATAAAAAGATATGCGGGAAAGGAGGTCATGAGCTGCTGGTGTTATAAAGCTAATTAATGTCATGGCGGTAAACGTGCATTTTCATACCAACCGGAAAATGTTTACATTCCTTGCCACACTTCCAGTTTATTAGTCCGCCGAATGCAATCTTGTCCCGAGGGAACGAAGTGGAGGATTCAAAACTTTTGCCTGGTATGCCTGTGGCAGCTCCGGGCCTGTGGTTGATATGTGCCTGTTCGCGGCCGGTCGCCTCACAACGAGGCTAATCTGGAGGAAGAAGGCCATCTTGGATATCATTTGTAGTAGTTGTACTTTTTCAGTATGGTATGTATCGCAAATTAGAGGTGGAGTTGCTCTAGCCTTTCTCGAACTCATTAACAGTAGGATCTCCACTCTTTCTTCCCAGAGCTTCTTCGGATTTGGCCAGTCTGCCGAAGTGGAAATCGAGCTTGCTAACTCCGAAAACCGCAAGCAAGTCGACGTAAAAAACGAAGATGGCAAAAAAGAGAAACTGTTTTTGTACTACGACGGTGAAACTGTAGCTGGAAAGGTAGGGGTAGTAACCAATACCTAGATTTTCTAATTTTGCTAATGTTGTTTTAGATCGTCTGCTAGGAGTTGATTTGCATCGAGCTTGCGTATGCCTCGATGGAGGTTTGTTTAACTACAAAGCTTAATCTTAATACAAGAGCAGAGAATTGTGCGCAGTTGATCTCAAGCTTATTTTCTTCGTTGCTGGTCAGGTGCATGGTTACCGTTGCATTGAGATCGCATTCTGAAATAGAGGCTCAAGCCCAACTGAAAAGTCGATAAGCAGTTTAATACTGAAGTATCAACATTCGCCTCACAAATTGATCAAATCATAACACTAGTCAACAAACATCACAGCTTTAGTTGCAAGCTCGACACTACAGCTGAGTCACCCGGTGTCGAGATCATCTTTTCGAATCTTTGCTAGAGCTTATTTTCAAGCTATATTTACATTTCTTACGTGATAAACTCAATATTGATCAAGCTTGTACAGTGTTGTTTTGGAGTTAATTAATTGCTGTCACACTCACGGAGAGTAAAAAGTGAATTTGATGAATTTGATTAGGTTGCAATGAACATATGCGGAAGGGAATACCCGGGTTGGGGGGGGGGGGGGGGAGTGCCTTTGCTCAGGTAATACACCAACTGTACTGCGAACAGAATTTTCAAGTCTGTTCTGAAAGAGTTTCAAGGAAATTTACAAATTGTGTTTGCCCTACTTGCTAGCAACTCATTTATACAATGCCATAACAAATACATGTATAGGGCTAACCACATGATTTCCATTTCAAGAGGTTTTTTTTTTACATATTATTTGTATCTCTTGAATAAAGTATTGTATAGTATTGTATGTGTGGTAATACAGGAAAGCGGTTGTATATTCAACGGTATTACATCTAACCTTTTCATCATGCACCATGCGAAGGCACATGTCACTGATTGTGTTAACCACTGTATTTTCTATGGTGTGGTATAAAATAGTTATCCAACGCTCTCCCGTGGTATATCATGGAATATCCCACTTGTCACTTGTATTTTCTTTGTATACACTTGAACCTTAAGGCGAGTGTGTGACTGGTGTGATACTCCATGATTCACCACTTGAAAGCCTTGCATAACTACTATACACATGCCTGTTTACTAAAATATTAGCTTAGTAAACCAGTTTCCCAAAATGGCTTGAGGTCAAGCCTGCATTTGAATAGCCTGCGAGCAGGCTGACATTGGAGCACAGGTGCATGCGGCATAGCTGCTAGCACAAAATCGAGCGGGGAAGCTGCGAGAATAGAAAGTGAGCCTGCTCTGATCTCTGCAAATTTTTCACTTTCTTGGTGCCTCTTCACCAGACTCCTTCCTGCCAGATCGCTTTGCTCTTCACTGCTCGCACATGTGACTCAAAGGTGAGCCTGCTGGCTGGCTAGCATTTGAAGAGCCTTGCATGCAGTGCAGTGGAACTAACCTAAGACATCAATTGGTGACCTAACAAGACATTTGTGAACTGATGGTACGCCAAATGGCTCTTTACCAAATGAATTTGACTTTCATGTATTCTGTGAATATGGTAAAAACCTGTGTATGAGAACCTGAATTTTTCCATGTTAGACTGAATAGGTTCTGATGTAAGGGAGATCTAACTTGGGAATTTTTGGTGGTAATACTAATGTACTTTTTGAAGTGTTTATGAATTACTGCTTCTTTGAATAGGTCCATGTAAACCTGAAAGTTCCTGGAAAAAAACTGGAACATCATGGGATAAAAATAGAATTTGTGGGACAAATAGGTGAGGAGTTACTTGTCGTTCAACTATTGACAGACAATATGGTGGTGACAATTTTAGTTGCCATCGGAAAAACGTGGTTTGGTTCATGGTCTGTGCTTGATATATTAAATTTCTTTTCGTGGTAATTTCCATAGAAGACTTGATACAAAGATAACAATAACAAACATAGATGTTTGGCAGAAGCTGCAGCACCATGTTAGAATTTTGATGTATAGTATTATTACACAGTATTGAATGTCCTCTTAGGCTATAATTATATGTGCTCTGTTTGACTTTTTACATTCAGAGGAGATTGGTAATATTTTTAAAGTTTTAGTTTTGTGGCACTTGCAGGTTTCTCAAACCAACTTGTAATTTTAACTTTGCTCCAGCGAGTTTCAGTTGTCATTTAAAGGGACACTGTCATGATATATTTGCTTAAAACTGTTGTAAATTCACGAAATGGTCCCTAAATTTATGTAATAACTTAATTAACTCTGGCTAACGTTTAGTTGAAGCTAATTAAGTTCTTATTACATAAATTTAGGGACCACTTCAAGAAATTGCTTTTAATCATTTGATGATTAAAAGCAATTTCTTGAAGAAAGTCTACACTGCAGCAACATTTTTGCAAAATTTCAACGATTTTGAGCCAAACTTGGACCTTTGAAAAACTGACATCTTAACACTTTTTCAAAAATCCATATCGCAATCCATTTCCATCCTCCCCATCGTTAGCCATTCTCACTTCCAAATGGGTTTTAATCATTTGTCGAGTACTGCTCTACAAAATAAAACCATTATTGTTCAACTTCCAATGATTGATATATGTTTTTGAGATTTCCAAAAT